CTGAGCAGAGTCTAGCAACATTTCATAAATTTTGGCTGTGTAATCATCTACGGTAAAGTTCTGAACTGGTGGAACTAAACAATTCAGCTTGTATAGAAATAGGAATCCATTTTAGTTTAAGTCTAGCAACATTTTCATATGATGTAGAAAGAAGTTATGGGTTTATCACCCACAATGCTGTATAAATGATTTTGATATAATTAAAATTTCAATATATTTTCTGGCTTTAAAATAACCCACATGCAAAGGACATACATACATATGCTGTAAATACCATAATATACCAAACTTCAAACTACTATTTGAAATAATTCCGTGTCTCTCAGTGCTAATAACCTTGGGAAAGGTATGAATCGTCTTCTTCTCACTCCCCAGCTATGGGTAAATAGAACAGATTGGGTTCTATAGTCTTTCATGGCAACTGGTCTACCGCAGAAAGAAATGACAACCTACCGAAAGATACATGATCTCCTAAACGTGTATCATGCATGGCACGTAACTGAGTGAGAGTCTAGCAACATTTCATAAATTATGGATGTGTAATCATCGAATTATAAAGTTCTGAACTGGTGGGGCTAAAGAATTCAGCGGCGGATTAATGGATAGAGGCTCGGATTGAGGAATCGGAGAGCCGCGTTCGAATTCTAGTCGAATGCATTACATTTCATCTCCACAGTGCTAGGGATAAATAGCGGGGCGGACCGAGTTCTTCTGGTTTACCGCATAAGGAAATGGCAACCTACTGCGGGGAAAAAAATCTGCCTCGTTAGTCATGTATCAAAAGATACATGATCGCCTAACCGTGTATCACGGATGGCACCGACTTATTTTTTTTTTTTTTGCTTTTCAAACTAAACACGTAATTTTAAAAAGAAATAAATTTGTCTAGATTCGTTTTGACACAAATATCGTTCTTCTGTCTGCACCAAAACCTGTTTCCTTCGCTTGATTTCCTTTTCTCTCAAGTCCTGTAAATCTGCAGAGAAATGGATTAGTGTAAGAATTAAATTCTGATACTAGAATAATTGCTGTATCTAGTTTAAAATCTGTATTAATAAATTGGTTTACTTATCAACCATGCCACGTCATTCTGCAGGGAAATTAAGTTGTCTAGATTCGTTTTGATACCAGTTCTACCTGGCTTCATGTTTATTTGATAGCATTGATGAAACTAGGCAGAAGGTTTTCCAGCAATAGATTGCCGTTCGTTTTATGCATTAGATTGGCTACCAACCAAGGCTACAGGACACAGTCTGTCCTGCTATTCAAGCCATAGCTGACAGGAGAAGAGATGGAAATATAATTTACCAAGATTATTTACCCGAATTTGAATGTAAAAAATCAAAGTGGATAAAAACTCGGTTCATTCCGAGACGATATCCTTTACACCACCCGCACATCTATAATTCTCAATCAAGCATGAAAATTTAGAAAAAAAATAAAATTTATTACGGCTTGACATTTTACACCCACACAATATATATATATATAAAGTCTGATGATCCAGAACCCTGTTAAAGGGGTTATGGTGAAATAGCTTATTACATGGAATCTTAACGTGGTCTGTTTTTTTATTCAAACATATCTGCTCTGAATTTTACATTGAGCTCTCTGGATATCATCCTCCTCAGGTCTATATACGGATTACTAAATTTAAGTTTATATATATATATATATATATATATATATATATATATATATATATATATATATATATATATATATATATATATATAAATATATATATATCTAATTTAAATAAATAATAAATTTTTAATTTTCCAGTCATAATTTATTCCATTTAAAGAACCGATCCAAATATCATACCTATATATTTTCAAAATTTGAATTTGAAAATTTTTTAGGTCTGATATAATTGGAAAGAATTTACGATTTGTTTGGAATAAATTAAAAACCATGGAATATTATGTTTAAATATTTTTATATATATCCTTACTCTGTCCTAGACATTGAGTTCTACCTGGATTCTTCCTCTTGGAAATTTTTTTTTTGAAAATATACAAAATATATTTTATTTTTATATATATATTTTGCATATGTATGTATATTTTCCACATTAATATTATCTATATATATCTATCTATATATATATATATATATATAATATATATATATATCTATATATATATATATATATATATATATATATATATATATATATATTCTTTTGACATTATCAACATTTATTTAATTTGTTCTTTTCGTAGATACAAATATTTAAGTAAATATGTTTCATTTATTTCTCGGACATGAGGCCGGTAACAAATAGTAATACTTTTATTATAAACAGAGAATAATTTAAATATTTTTATCTATAAAAGAAAAATAAACAAAATTTATAAAAAATAAAAATAATAATATTATATATATATATATATATATATATATATATATATATATATATAAATATTTAAACACACACACATTTTATATTTATAAATTTTTGTGTGTTGCTATATATAAATCCATGTTGTTATATAATATAAAAGAAAGACAAAATAATAATATAAATTGTTAAAACTGAAAATAAAAAAAATGTTCAATATATTTATTATAACAAAAATTTATAAAATAAATATATAGAAGAGAAATTAAAAATTTCTCCATTTGAATAGCTATTTTCATCCCACAAGAGTCATTGAATTTTAAAATTTGTTTTGAAAACAAGGGTTGAATAAATATTACATATTTATATGTACATTTGTGTTGGTGAATACTAACATATTTCACTTTAATATTTTATTTTTCTAGCGAGATTAATGCTCGACAAATTTACATATAAGTTTTAGATCAAAATAAAATTCTTTTCGTTTTTCATTCAAAATACTCAAATTTTAGGAATACGTTTTCACAACATCGCCCACGTGACGACGACGTGATCATATTTAAACGGAACGCTGATCTTAAAAAAGATTTCAGTTATCTGTTTGGATTGGTATTGCTTTTATGTCCATCGTCTTTTTCATGTTGAATTGTATATGGTCTATGTTAATTATGTTTTATGAATATGTCCTGAAGATGGTCTATTAGACCGAAACGTCCGACGTTGACATTAAAATTAAAAAGCATAATCGCATATTAGGATTTTTGTTTGTTTTTTATATATTTTTATTCATATATATATATATATATATATATATATATATATATATATATATATATAAAAAATCCAATATTATCTCATATTGGTATAGATTATGAATTTCAATAAACGATAATTACGTCAGTCTTATTCATATTTAAATTATAGATTGAGTTCGTGTCGGAAGATATAAATACATTTAGATTATATATTAAAAGATTTATTACTTTAACATATTATATATATATATATATTTATATATATATATATATATATATATATATATATATATATATATACTTTATCATTGGTGTAAGATTTGAAAAACTGAAATTCAAGCATTAAATTTTTTGATTTTATTGAATAAAGTAGACTGACAAGTCCGCCTACAAGATTTCTTGCTGAAATGAACATCAATCAGACAAGTAACAAAATAAAAAATTATATTATTTCTATCAAAATTTTATTTTTGATATGATGCATGAACTTTGCAAAGTTTTGCTTTAGGTTAAATGTCTTTTTTTTTTCTGATATCCAATGACTATTAGCATTTTGGGTTTTATACTATTCTGATATTGATTATATATATATATATATATATATATATATATATATATATATATATTATATATATATATATATTATTAAATTTGTAAGCATTACGTACTATGAAATTTTCTGCTATCATTTTTAATTCCATATTCTGTTATGGATTTAATTTTTGATATTTTATTATTTTATATATAAAACTTGAATATATATATATATATATATATATATATATTTCTTTTTATTTATTTTAATTCCAAAAATAATAGATTTATACATTTTTTTAAAAAATGCAAATTCCCTAATTTTTGAACAAAGAAATAAAATAAACTATCTACTACAAAATGTTAAATTTTACAGCTAAACTTATTCTCAAAAATAACAACACTCCAACAAATGCAAAATTACAATGAGCGAACATTATTTAAAAATTTTCAATTCCATTTAAGGAACTGTGTTTGTTGATTTCCGAATTCATATTTAATTACATCGGAAAATTTAAATTAAATGCCTATTAGAAATTATTTGCAAAGGTTACACCTATCAGACCACCGCTCTATAAGAATCTATTTATCCACACACACAAACTTACTAGACTTTAAATATAAAGAAAAGCCTTAACACTAAATTATATAAACTACGAACATAGCCAAATGTGCTGAAATATATGTGAAAATTTAAAACATTCTCTATAACAAAAAAAATATAAAATTTTTTACATTCAAACTAAAAATCAAAATAATGTTCAAATCATTTTGATAATTGCAAAAAAGTATAAACAAATTTTTGGAAATACAGAACAAGGACAATTTTTTATACACAAATTGTGTCCAGAAAAATTTGACACAATACAAATTTGTGTTAAATAAAAAAAAATCGTTTATCTTGTCTAAAAAAATTTAATGAAATAGTATATATTTATCCAAACATGCATATATATATATATAATTTATATATATATATATTTTTTTCGAAAATTTCTTTTTTATGATTTTTTTTAAATGTAATCAAATTTTAACCATGGAATATTAGCGTTTTTTTTTTTATATTAAATTATATTATATTATATTATATTATATTATATATATATATATATATATATATGTGTGTGTGTGTGTGTGTGTGTGTAATGTGTGTGTGTATTGTGTGTGTGTGTGTATTATTCAATAAAAATTATATTAAAATTAATAAATTAAAATCTTCAGACACACTGGATTGCATATTAATATTCCTTCGTTTTTATTATTATTTCATTTAGATTCCTCGACTAGTTTCGGCCAACCATCATCAGAAAAAAAATCTGTTTGTTAGTAACAGTGAACTATAGAAATGAATTTTCCATTGACAAATGCTTATTTATCCTTTCTCTTCAGTTCCAGTCGAGGACAAAACATTTAAATATCAGAGTATCAGCTATATAAATCACTAACAGAATAAATTTCCTCCATCTAATTCTTCTTCTTCTCAGCCTCCGTCTTTTCTTTTTTCTTTTCTGAGGAAATTTCTATTTCTTTTCCTCCTGACTCCTCCCCTTTTTTTTTATTTTTCCTCCTCCTCCTTCCTTTTCTTCTTCTTTTTATTCTTATCCTCTTCTTCTTCTTGTTTTTTACGAAAAAAATATTCTTCTTCACCTCCATTTCTTCTTCTTCTTCTTTTCCTCCTCCTTCTTCTTCTCCTTCTTCTTTCCTCTTGACCTCTTCCTTCTTCTTCTTCTTTTCTTCTTCTTCTTCTTCTTTTCTTCTTGTTTTTCTTCTTCTCCTTCTTCTTTTCTTCTTCTCCTCTTCATCAATTCTATATTTTCTTCTTCTTCTTATCTTCTTGTTTTTATATTTAAATATTTCTCCTATTTTTCTTCTTATTTTCTTCTAACAATTTTCTTCACAAATTTGTAACATTTTACTTCTTCTTCTTCTTCTTCTTCTAGATTTTTTTTTTCTTCTTCTTCTTCTTCTTTTCTTTTTTCTTCTTTTCTTCTTTTATTTCCATTTCTTTCCTTTCTTTCTTTTTCTTCTTTCCTTCTTTTTTTCTTCTTCTTCTTTTTCACTTCTTCTTCTTTTTTCTTCTAAAAGAATTCTTCTTCTTCTTCTTCTTATTTTCTGTTCTTCTTTTCTTTCTTTCTTTTTCTTGTTTAAATTCTTCTTCTTTTTCTTCTTCTTCTTCTTCTTCTTTCCTTTCTTTCTATTAATTCTCATTCAATTTTATTTCCTGTTCTTGTAGATCTTTAAAAGTTTTTTATTTATATTATTTTTTCTTTATTTCTTTGTCTAAGAGTCATCCATTTCATCAAAAAGATAAAAATTATATTTTTTTTTCCTTTTTCTAAAATCTCGTCATCGTTTAAATTGTTCATTTTTGAGCATCAGAACCTTTTTTTCACATTATGCGCATAGAAATTTCAAGTTTTTTTCTCTTCTTTCTCTTATTAGGATTTTTTTTTTTAAAAAAATTTTTTATATTCATTTTCACATGTTTTAAAATGGTATCCTTAGCATCCTTCTGTAGAAATTTTGAATTTTTTTCTTCATTTTTGAGAAGATTTTCGACAGCATTCACAGCCATAGAGGAGGACTAATATTGTTTAATTTTGTAAATTTACTCATTTTTGTTTCTAACGAAATATTTTGTTTTTTGATAGTCTAAAATGAAAGCTTTTGAAAAGCATCTTTAAATTTTTTTTTTATTGAAGAGATCTTACTTTATCAATCATCTATTATTTTTTTCAGAGAAATTTTGAAAATCATTTTGATACTGTTTGAGTATTCTTTTAGTCTAAAATATTTTTATATTTTATAAATTAAATTTAATTTTTTTTTTTAAAATCATTATATCGTAAATATTTTTTCTTGAAAAAATTGCCTCATTTTGATACCAGTTAAATATTTTCATTGAAAAAGTTTTAAAAATTCGCCGGCCGAAACTTTTGATGAATATAAATGCAGATGAGGATAAATAGTTTGAATAATTTAAATAATTCCAATTAATTTTAATACCTCATCTTTCAAATATAGAGGAAAACTTGATTTTTGAATATGGCAATGAAGATGAGGATAATAGTCTGAATAATATACATAATGCAAAAATCATTAATATTTCATCTCAGAGATTTTAGAGGCAAAACTTTGTGAATGTGGCAATGAAATGAGGATAATAGTCCGAATAATGTAAATAATGCAATAAACATAATGTCTCAATTTCAGAGATATAGAGGCCGAAATTTGTGAATTGGCAATGAAGATGAGGATAACAATTTAAATAATTTATTTTTAATTTTTTTTTAATCATGTTAATACCTCATCTCAGGGATATAGCCAGGGTTTGGATTCTTTAATAAATTTTAAGATATTATATTAATTTATGTCTTGAAAATTTTCTTTCATATTGCTTGTTTTGTTCGTTGATTTTGTTTTACAGCATATTTTCTTCATGTTGAAATTTCATGCCAAAATATAAATATTTTGAATGCAATTGTACGCCTTCAAGTACAGATAAAATTGTGTTGTTGGTCATTTTGCCTTAAATAGGTATTTTTGGTAATTTTACGATAAATATGCATTGTTGGTAATTTTTATATAAACATGTATTTTATATTTTTATAAATATTAAATTTATATTTTTTATATTTTCATAGGTTTTTTTTTTTTGTTTATTTTCTTTTTGCCCATGATTGGGACCCTAATGGTATAACTAAATGGGTCATTAAATTCTTAAAACAATAACAATTAACAGTATTTTTCGCTCCTCAAAAACCTCTGGATAGAAGAGGTCAATCTATCTTAAATATATTTATCGTCATACCGAGTTTTTCAAAAACTAATAACAATTCACAGATAACGAATAAAAAGAAATGGACACAACATTAAAAATCAGCAGCAACAGGGAGCGTTCTATATACAGATGTGGTCCCAGGTTCGCTCAATAGCGAATATTTGTTTTTCAGAAATTTTCCCCATTTTATATATCCAGGTTGAAAGCGGAAGATGTATTCTAGCAAGTCTTGGTCAAGTAGACCTTGCGGAAAGCACACTTCTCTTGGTAAAACCACAGCCGATATCTTCGCACTTGAATTTAATATTTAGTCAGACAACTGCTGAAAATTTCTTTATTGTACAAGAAAAATCTTCATTTTAGAAATGTAGGAATGCCAATCCAAACTTTATCACCTTCAGGTCGTGAATTGACATTAAAATCCTCTTCTTTTTGCCATTCATTAGGCGTCTACAATTATTTTTATTTTCCTTTCAAAATTAAATTAAATAACAAAAATATTTATATGTTTACTCCCTTAATACTTATAGACGGTGGAACAAACGGATGATGACAATAACCGATCTGAACGATTGAACCAACAGATGAAGAGGGCTACGCATGAGGGACAAACTACAGTAGGCGCCATTCGAAATTAAACAGCCAGCGGTAGTCTGTTGCAGTTTCATTACTAGATTCTGCATGTCTCATTCCATATGTGCCGCAGAGGAAAGTCATGAAATGATGCTGATGTCTACCTTAAACAAATTAACGTCATCGACACACTTCTACTCTGATTTTCTTTCATGGAGCAGGTTTGGATGAAACTAGAAGCTTCCAGTTCTGAACAACATCATCATAATGGAAGGGATTGGTAAAAGAGAAATTAAATTCTTGGATACGAGATAAAGCTGTCGCTGACGACTTATAGCTATGTTTTTTTTAAATGTTATAGTGAAGAAAACGGCGACTGACCGCGTCAAACCAAGCAACAGCGCGTCCAATTTGTATCCTACGACGTTAAAATGTGGAAAAAAGAAAATTGAAAAGAAGGGCAAAACACAGAGCACGTATTCCGCATGACATGCTGAAGACGGAATATTTAAATTAAAAACAAGACCGTTAATAGGAGTCGTTTGTAATTTTATTTTGATATGCAAAATTGAGCGTCTCTCCCAGATGTCGACAAATGGAAAAATGTTCGGCCGGTAAAGCAGTTAGTGTTCTCAAATCGGGAAAAAGAATAAGACATTTTTATAGACCGCAAGAAATGAATGGGTTATTTTCTGACTGGTTACGGGCATTATGATTTGAAAGAGAGTTGGAAACCTGCGGAATCGAGTTTTCGGCATTTCTTTCTGCCCCCCAATAGAAGAGTCTGTACTTAGTGATTTATTCTCTGATTGTGGATAATCTGCGACAAATATTTCCATTATGCAATCCCAGATCATATTACAAATGTTTACATATTAAAAACAATGTTAGGAAAACCAATTAAAATTAATTAAGCTCATGAAGTTCAAAGGACGAAACGCTTTTGTTCCGGTGTCTCACCTTCTAGAAATTTATTAGTTATTTGCATATAATACCCAACTGCCAGAAATAGGGAAGGTTTTTATTGTTATTTAAAAGAAAAAAAAAATTGTATAACAGAGTGAAAATAGTGATAATCTGAATTTAATAGATAATTTAAGAAAATTGCTTTTTTGCTCTGATAAATGCATTTATAAATTTAAATAAAATCCGCGCCATTTACACTTACAGTTATAATCTTGCACACTAACACGAAAACATGGCTATGTGCCATGCGTGATACATGACTGACGAGGCAGATTTTTTTTCCCGCTGTAGGTTGCCATTTCTTTCAGAAGATCAGAATGGCAGGAGGATTCAACAATGGACGAATACCCACACTGTTTATATGTGAAAGATATCAACATTATTAGAATGAAAAAAACGTCAAGATAATATATCTCAAATATGAATTACATCAAGACATAGATAAAAACTACGACTTGGTCCAAAAATGAAAACAGTATGAACAGCGGACGAACAGTAGGGGAATGGGATCCAAAAACATCCAACGAAGATGTAGAAATGGAAGAAAAATACCCTGAGCAAAATACAGCAGAGGCTAAATTGATTTCCAAGAGAAAAAAAAAACTCCCAGGAAAGGAAAGAAAAAGAAAGCAACGCTAACGTCTTTACCTAAATTTTATGTATTTTTCATTTTTTCCTCAATAGGAGTAGATAGGTTTGCCTATCACCCGGTTCACACGCCTCGCCGGTCTTTTGAACAGGAGTTTTGTTGTAGCATACCTACGAACGATAATGTGTATGTCCCCATTCACATAAATGCAGTAGTAAATACTGTATGTTGGTCTGCAGTTGGATATTCGTCTCCAGCTGTTTTTTTAAAAATCTCTACGTCCGAGCAGAGAAGATCCCCCAGATGAGGCTCGTCGTTAGGGCAGAGTCTCATCTCCGGAAACAGCTACCCGACCCCGCTTTATACGGCGTGTACAGGGAATTTTTAGCCGAGCTTACGGGCGAGGACATCCCACATTAAATTCGGCCTAGTGTCACATCTGACCGTATGGAGCGTTTGATAGATATCCTGCAGTTGGGGATTCGTCTCCAGCCGTACTGGTCAAACTCTTTGCCTCCGGGCACAGAGGATCCCCAGTCGAGGCTATGTCGAAGGACAGTCTCGTTAAACGGAAACAGTTAATCATTTTATTTTTATACGGGGTCTATGGGAATTTTTGAAAATGAGCCTACGGGCTCGGATACCCAATAACAATTTTTCGGCCTAGTGCTGCATCTGACCGTGTGGGGCAAGAAAATAGATGTCCTGCAGATATATATTCTTTTCATTTTTCATTCAAAATATTCTTTTCATTTTTCATTCAAAATATTCTTTTCATTTTTCATTCAAAATACTCAGATTTTAGGAATACGTTTTCACAGCGTCGCCCACATGACGACAACGTGACCATGTTTTAAACGGAGCGCTGATCTTATAAAACTTTCAGTTATTTGTTTGGATAAGGCTTGTTCTTATGTACATCGTCTTTGTCATGTTGTATTGATAATGTTATAATTTATGAATATGTCCTGAAGATGGTTTATTAGACCGAAACGTCCGACGTTGACATATTAACATTAAAACAGCATAATTGTATATAAGGATTTTTGTTTGTTTTTTCCGATCTATATATATTTTCTTCATATATATATATATATATATATATATATTATATTTATTTATATATATATATATTTCTCTCAACTCTCTCTCTATATATATATATATATATATATATATATATATATATATATATATATATAAAGAGAGAGAGATATGAACAGAGAGAGAAAGAGAGAAAGAGAGAACTGTACTACGCTGTAGGTGCAGTTCCGAAAATCTAAATGACCAGT